AATCACGGCTATGTTTAGTGGCTCACGGCAATTATTATACACCTGACATCAAATTGACTTATAAATATTTATTTATATCAAATGGCAGGAGTTTTGATAGTTATCATTAGCCCTTTAGTTGACTTCAGGCTTCACAGAGGGGAGGAGGAACAACAAAGTGAAAAAAACGAGAGTAGGCGGGGGGGGGGGGGGCAGAAAAGGTAAGATGAGTACTGTGAAAGTAGTCGAATATGACATACAGTGTGGTGGTGGTAATTTGCAATCAGAAGTCAACAGCCGGTTTATAAACTTTTTTGCCGTATGAGTATACGTTGCCCAGGGCGCACCACGTAGAGGTAAGTCTATCGCACACCCCGACTTATAAATATCAATTTATGAAAAAAACTTTTGATTTAAAAGAAATTCCCTTTACAATTATCTCCAAGCGTTTAAATGCTCAAGACAGTATTTAGTTATGGGCACAAATTCAAAAATAATTTGAAAAAAAATGAAGATCAACCATTATGGATATACATAGTTAGATGATCTTTGTGTTATCTTTTTTCGATTTCCAAAAGGCAACATTGCACAAATTAAAGATTGAATCTGATTTGCACAAATCACCGAGATTGTCATTCACATCTTTTAATTTATTTAGAAGAGATAAGTGGTGCAATCTCTTTCTCAAAGAATTTTGGCACCTACTCTGTCATTACTTCAAGTTAAGGGATTTTATTAGAATGCAAAATGTTAAGTGAGTACATATAGGAAAAAATTTACAATCCCCTCACACAGTGAAAGATTAGTGTTTATACCTAACCACCCCCCCCCCTTGGAATATCTGGTATAACTCAATCATTTTCGCTGAAACGGTTACTATGCAACAAGACATAGTTCCGGAATTAGCAGACCTCAGAGTTAGTTAAAATTAATATGGAAGCATATTTTCATAATAATATAAACACATTTGCTCTTGCTGTATTTTGACAGACCGTTTTCGTTAAACACAGTTTTCAAAAGCCGATCTTGTATTTATATAGGTGTCAATTTACATGAAATAAGTTAATATGTAGTAAGCTAATCTACTACTCCAGCTGGCAGAAACGTAGTTTGAAGAATAAGGAGTTGTCAAATTTTCAATATACTATTTTTAAACAGAAGAAAGATCCTGTCAAATTTTGAAAGAAGTTGATTTTCGTATGTATCGTAACGTTTCAAATATTTAGGCATGGAATAAGGCGTCAAGCGATAATACCTCAAGTATGAAGCAATAGAATAGGGACTATTTTTCCTTAATATGCTTTTGATAGAACTCAAACATCTTAAAATGCTGATCAAACACTAATCGCCACGATACCGGGGTAAGTAATCGCGGTCAATCCTTAAAAGGAACACAGTGCGTATAACTTTGCAGATAAAGTTAAAGGCAGTAAACTCACCTCAAAATGAACACCTCTCTCCTTCATGTCTTTATAGACATTGTTATCGTCCAGAATATGATAGCCATGACCAATTCTCTCAGCATGCATCTCATGAACAGCTTCAGTTACTGACGCTGCACATCCGTTTTCACCAGCGTGTGCAATGCAGTGGAGACCGGCCTCATAGGCCCTTTGAAAGGCGTCTTTAATTCGCTTGTCGGTGTTCTTGCCATCACATGGTTTATCATCGCCTAAAATGATGAATGAAAGTCCAGTTGTTTAACAATGGCCTACTATGGGTCAAGGGGTCGTGGTGTCACGTGAGGGTAGGTTTTAAGTGAAAAGGTAACGATATTTAAACTCATTCCTCGTTGGTGTAAATTTTGCCTATTAATTTAACTAAAGCTTTGTCTAGCCAAGATATGGGGTGGGGGGGGGGGACAGTGACGCCTAAGTATGTCTAAAAGCCCGTAAACAAGCTTAAGTGTCAATAATTACCCTTGCTCCTTTTGATTAATAGACTTTCACTGATGTCGATGATGATTTAAACCCTTACTTTGCAAGGATAGACAAAAGGCGAAAATACTAAAACAAGATAAAGCAGCCGAAAGGTGTACGGGAGCTAAGAGGCCACTATTATATCTTAAGTTGTTCAATTCTCTTTTCACCGTTCTGGCAGCACATTTGAATGTGATTTAACAGACCTAACGTTATATTCCTTTAGTAAAATGTGATAACACTATGCATTGACAACAGTAATGAATGAATGTCTTCAGAACTATCACCTGAGTGATTGAACTTTAATCATCATTATATGGTCACAGTAGTTAGTATTAGTAGATACAATTAAGTTCCAGAAATAAATTTTAAAAATGCGAAAGCAAATTTTAAGGGATTTATACGAGAAATGCTGTATAAATATTGCACGCACTACAAACCGTAAAATGCTATGTAAATGTCAACTCCAATGACAATTTGGTAATTTTATTTAACAAATAGTAGCATTACTATGTCAGCAAAATACGCGTAAAGCAAATATTTTCGATCTTTACTTACCGTGGATGATAAAAATTTATTGAAGACATCAATAAGAAATCGATTGTTTTACAAAAAAGGCTTATGTTCAGTTTGTATTCCGACACTATAACAAAGTATTCAACAATATAAATTTGCATTTTTATTGATAAGGACATACTGTGCGGCTTTTCTTCCACCATGGCATGAACGCCTAAAAGGCTACTAGTCATTACTGAAACTACTAGGCAAATGTCAATTTTGGTCTAAAAATTTAAATCGGACAATAGGAATTAAATAAATGATATAATATAAATAAAAAACTGAGCATTGAATCACACTGCATGGGAAAAATCATTCGGAAACACAAAGCTAACGACTGAACTGAAATATTTAGGTTTCTCTTTGAGACCGAAATTATTTGATATATTTCAGTTATATATAACACTGGAAGAAATAAGCAGAAAACGAAAAGTGGATCTTGAAATCTAATTAGTTACCAGCAACATCAACAGCTACAACTCCATTTTTACGGTTGGCCAAAGCCAAGTCAACAACTTTCTCAGACCATTCTGGATTTTGACGCATCATACAGAGAATTGCTCGCCATTGCAAGTTATGCTGATGTGCGGCAGTTTCCATTGATTTCAGAACTGTTTCAGTAGCCTCCTCAACAGTCAGGTTATCGCCAGCAAAGAAGAAGGGACAAAATCTAGGTTCAACATAGCAATGTCCACCCCTTTTAACACAGTCTTCTACAAAGTCCACAGTTATTTGATGTAGAGCTTCCTAAAAGTAAACGGTTTGAAAGTAATATAAGTAAGTTATTTCGGTAGATATTAAGTTTTTTTACCTTGTCTCCTCTAATAGGCTGAAGAATATCATTAAATTTAGTCAAGAAGGAGCAGAGACTGTTTGGCTCCGTTACTCTTAAATGTTTCGCAAATCCTTCTCCGTTTGAACATGGAAATGATATTCCTTTCTTCTGGGCAAATCTGAAAATAGTCTCTGGACGCCATCCACCATCAAAATGAAGATGTAATTCGACTTCCTTCCTTGGCGTGTCAAACATCGTATTCAAGTGATGCCAATTAAAAGAATGCCAATTGCACAGCGCTTATAACCATAGCTTAAACAAATTAAGGTCAATTTAAATTTGGAGGCTACCAATAGAAACTAATCGCAATGATTTTTATTTTATTTGGCTTTGTTTTTTGTTTGCATTATCTCTATATATTGTAACGTGTATTAAGGTTTTTCACAACAGATCGAGTCAGGTATTTATATAATAAGGCAAAAATTTATATTGGAAGCAAAAGATAAACTACTTTAAGTTTTCTTATCAACAATTAAAATTATATCAATGTATAATGCTTTGGCTAAAAATGGTTCTAGATTGCATGAAACGTACTTTTGGTTTATTTTATTCCATCAAATAATCTCTTTTCAAATCGTTATTTTCGACATTCTTAAATTCATTTTATTGATTTTTGAATTCAATTGCTACAACTAGTTTCCTTATTTCCATAAATTGACCCTCATAGCGTCTTTTGGTGTGACTTTGTCGGGTTGGAAAGCCGCATGCTTAAGCCCGTCAAATAGGAAAGCTGAAATTAGAGCTGTAGTCAATTCCTGCAAAATATATAAGAGTTTAGCTACAATGAGGAAGTCCATTACTAAACGTCTGTAAAATGTAAAAGGCTTAAAAATCAATGCACTTCCTCTTCATTGCATGAGATTTCTCAACTACCCTTATTTGTATGGGTATCGTTTGCAGGAAATTGCACCCTTAGTATTTAACTTGAGGTTTTACTTCATCTATTCTATCATATACAGCCTTCAGCTTAGATATGTGCTTGTCCTCTATCTGCAAGTAAATTATTATGCCATATACTTAAACCTGACACAGTATAGTTATCAGATCACTCGGTTCCTGGTGTAGTATTCATTGGAATGGAGCCAAGCAGCAACGTTTCAAAATCATGTAAACCAGTCAGTATCCCAAGAGTTTTGGCATTTGATTATGCCTACTCAATATGAGATCGACTGTGGAGAAGTAATGTGTTCCCGTCATCTATTCGTGGAATAAAGTAAGGATCCCATTTACCTACTGAGTTAAGTTCATGCTAAACCGAGCAGAATTGGAAGGAACCACCATTCTTTTGTCTTTCATTAGTTAAAATGGTAGACAATTATGTGTATCTTCACACATTATCAAGGAAGAGTTCTGCTTAATGCATTTCGTAAATTAAAGTACTTGATATCCAAGGAAGAGTGAATACCAAGTCAACACCCATTATTATCAAGAATGTAGGAATGCAAATTGGCTCACATTTTCTAGGAGACGGAAAAGGCCTTTCGTTATCTGGTGTGCACTCTGGCGGATTTGGCAACTTTTAAAGGCTGGGGTAAAGTAATTAGTGTCCATTTTTAGAAGAGATAAATACATCGAGATAACCAAACAATAAACTCAACTAAGTGATTAATGACCCTGAATGTCATTTGTGAGTGCTCTTTCATTGGCATGGTGATCAAATACCGAGATTCAAACATTGGAAAACCGCGTAAAGTTAATTCGAGAACTCAGTTTAAGAAATATCTTCATGTCATTAAAAATAACAGATGAATGAGAGTAAGAACAAAGTATTTTGTCAATTTTAATTTTCGTAATTTATCGGTAGTTCTGTCCTCTCTCCGGATTACATCAGCGACTCAATTTATACTGGAGACCTTAATATCTTTTAGCAAGCCATACAGTACTGAATTTTGGATCTGTTCTCTTCACAGGTGTAAAATTTTGGCAATTGAAGGTCCTTTCTTGGGCTAGGTGGATTAAATGAACCTACTTCAAAACCTCAATGGAGGGATAAATGTAGTCTTTTTTAAAGTAGATGAAAAGTCTTATTTTAGAATAAAACTATTATTTCCTTTTTGAAAAAGGTAATCCGTGACAGAATAAAACACGGATCGTTGGATGTAAGGGTAAAAGATGACTGTTCGGTTAAAAACTAGAGCCAGGAGATATTAGGTTTAAAGCAAATTTGTTGAGGTCATTGCTGGGTTGACTGAAGGCTTCATATTTCTGTAGGTGTAACAATTCTCACCGTCAACTTTAATCCTGCCAACAACTGAGAAAAAACGGAAAGTGGGTGGCGAGAATTAAGAAGCAGTTCTAGGTCGCTTTTAAGCCGCCTACAATCTTTGAATTAGATGTCGTCAATCAATACCAGCCAATGAAAATTTAATGGGAAATTCTGATTAACATATGAATTAAAATTGTCAAATTGGTTTATAGAGATATTGGACAAAAAATGCGATAAGTTATGCACTGCTAATAGTGTATTTCACTTTTGCAAGCATTTTTACATTGAGATCCTTATAACGTGAGTTTAAAATGAAATTTCAAATTAGACCAAAATTTGCGCATTAAACCTTCACGACCTCGAGTCAAGTAGAAATGTTCTGGTTTCAAGAAAGTATAGTTCGTAATTGTGTCTCCAGTCTTCATTCATGTTGCAAGAAAAGCAAGTCTTGACAGAATCACACTAAATTAACCTGTTAACTGAGCTAAAGGTTGCTCACGAAGAGAAATTAGAATAAAAAGGAAGTCAGACAGTCAGTTTTGCACTTGTAGCGTTGTCACCATTGCACATGCATACCCAGACAGGTCGCGTAGGGAGTAAGTGCGGCGTGAACGTGGTGTACACCTAGCCAACCGCCATCAATAGTCTGCGCCAGGTTTGTCACACCCACCATATTTATACAATGACTAAGCGCCTTTTCAGAACACAATATGCTCCCAACCCAAATTACCATGTTCCACGTGATACGTCTGTTTCCTCTGTATTCTCTGTAGCTTTGTGGTAGCTTATCTAGTTCTAGAAGTCATCCCAAAAATAGGGGAATCTGCCATGGAGATTTCTGAGTTTAGCCAAGGCTTATTAGTGTAGAAATCCGCTAAAACTGCATGGCATAAAAGTCGTTACTGTTTCTTAAGTGTTTGTCATACATTTTCGAGAATGTAGGCTCATGATTCTCATAGTGACCTACCCTGCATTTAGTAAGTGCATTTAGTAAAAGTCAAAATATGAAGTGGTTGACGTTAGTGAGTAATTAAAGGTCGCTATTGACTGAATTTTCTCTACTGAGAGCTCAATTTTAAGGGTATACTTTCACACTTCTCGGTTCAGGTGGTTTACCATTACTTGTGAAAGTGATTCGTCAAAATGTTATATCTAATGGCCGGTCTTAGTTGTAAACTAACAATTTCCGGAACCACATGTAAAGTGACAAAATTAATATGAATTTTCTAAATCACTATTAGCATGACACCCCATTCCACAACTTAGTCTATTTCCAGAGCAAACTACAGTCTCCTGGTCTCCGAGCACAACCACTTTACACATCTGACAATGATTTAAAAAACTACCATGCCTTTAAGTCTTTGCTAAAAAATTCGTCCTCTCTGTTCGAGAAAATATATGGCCACAAATCAATTAGGTCGCAAGTGGTATGAACTTGTTTAAAGTAGCAGTAATATGCATGCGTACTTGGCAAATATAAAAGTAAATGAAACTCGAAGTTATTTCACTTGCGGACGAACTATGCACATTACCACCTAGATAATACGTTGGGCTAATTTATCAGCAAACTTAATCTCGTTTTTTTAAGATTCCACTTATAACATCTCATGTAATCCACCTAATTGATAATTTCTAAACCATGACTACTCAGTCTTGCACAATTCAGGTTTTTTCAGCTCACACCATAAACCAATAACGATTTATGGACAATTGAATGTCGTGTACCACAAATAACCCTAACTGATATCATACATCCGCTTGAATACTCAGATAGTCGCCTTTTTTGTCTTTTTTTATTCGGAGATTGGTCATTTATTCCATTCCGTTTAAAAAACATGGATTCAAACAAAAGATTTCGTCTTCTAACGAAATAAAACTATGGAATAAATTTTATTAGCATATTACTACACATACGATCACAATCAAATTGGCACTCTTTAGGCAGGAATTAGATGCATTCTAAGTAATTTATAATTTCTCCAGTACTTGAGTGATCAAGCAGGTGATGATTTTGCTACTCTCTAGACCCGCTTGCAGAACCTCTTGGTGGGTTGATTGTGGCTTGCCTCTTTCAAAAGTACAGCGGTTAGTTACAAGAGCGATAGCCAGAACTTTCATTCCACAGTGGTGGGCCACAGTTGTCTCAGCTGTCAAACTCATTCCCAAAACGTCAGCACCAAGGAGGCGAAGAGCACGGTCTTCAGCAATCGTGTCAAAGGTAGGACCAAAAACGTACATGTAAACACCTTCGTGCATTTTATTCATGATACCCATCTCCTCTGCAACACTGAAGGTCAGTTGTCGAAGTTCTTTGGTATATACGTCGGAGAGAGCTGGAAATCGTGTTCCGAACCTACAAAATTTCATTAACACTCTATCAGTGGAAAAGAAGCGAAAGAGCGAAATACCGATGGAAAGTAATTATGAAAGGAGTTATTTACTATTTTGTATACTGATAAATGAGTACTGAGTGCATATCTAAGATACCCAGTGATCCTTTTTAACTAAATACTAATAGTATACGAGTGGACGTATGGATCTGTAAGGGATGTATATAGGAAAATTAAACAGATTTTTCAAACTTAACATATTTTGCGCTAGAATAACATGACATAAGGGAAAAAATCCTGGTCTTCATAATAAAAACACACAGAATAAATTATTAAAGTTATTTAGTTATTAATAAATTACGTAGAGTCCAGACATATTTAGATAAAGTGGAAATATGCGTCTCGGGAACTGCAAAATAGGCAGGAGTTAACATTCTTTAAAGTGCGCGAGAAGTAATAAAGCGGCCGAAGCACTCTATACCTTCTCATGCTGCACTTTAAAAATGCCAAGGAAAAACGCGCATCTTCAAATGATCTTAACACATTTATCAATTGTGATTTCTTTTCATCAGCACAAACTTGGTTTCCATAAGTGCAGTGGTTAGTAAGAATGATCGTCAATGCATTTGTCTGTAATTTCTTAAGGAGCAACTTAATCTAAGGGATGCTATTTTTATTGGGTACTTTAACTTTTTTCGTGAAAAAATATAGCTGAAAAATATGCAAATCATGCGTTCTCCCAAAAACTTTCAAGCAAAAATGGAGTTGTAATATATTACCTCTATAATGGTGGTATGGTGTTAAGGAGCATTTGGGATTGTGGGAGATAAGCAGAAAGACAACGGTAATTCATAGCAACATTACCTCTCATCATTTGGTCCACAAAGCGGATTGAAGCCCGCAAGGGCAGGAATACTGATATGATCCTTCACTACCATTAGATCACCGACATTATAATCTAAGTGAACTGAGCCAGTAGCGTTAGTGCAGATGAGATATTCACATCCCATGAGTTTCATCAGTCGAACTGGCATCGTTGTCTAAAGCAAAAAAATCGAAAAGTCTAAAATATGATAGGAATAAATTTTGCTGTCTAATAAATAAGACTCATAAAAACGGATAGTTAGCCCAAGAGATTCAAGGCAGAGTTTTATTAATTAAAATACTTGCCTGTTGCTGAGTATAGCCTTCATAACCATGTAAACGTCCCTGCATCAGCATAACATGCTTGTTGCCAATAGTGCCAAATACCAAGTTGCCGAAATGTCCTTCCACTACAAATACCAAAAGTAACATTATCATCCAAGACAGCCTTAAGCATTGGTGAAAATGTCACCCAGCTACTCACCTGTACACTTGGGAAAGTTTGGAATATCTTCGTAGGGAATTACAATTTGATTTTTGATGCCATCTCTAAGGTTTCCCAAACCTGAGCCACAGATTAAACCAACTAGAGGTTTAAAAGGGATTTTCTTTTGCAGGTATTCACGAGCAGCGTTCACTTCGTCGTAAGACGCCATGGGTAGATGTAGCACACCCTGTTTGTGCCTATTTATTTACCGGACGATGAAGTATTCCTCTGTTCTAATTTGTCAGCGTTAATAACTCAGAGGGCGTATTCCGATTAATTAGTGCGAATGTCCAAGTGCCTGGGAGATTCGTTTGGGTTAAGTTTATTTTTTATATAAACAGGATGCGGTCATGGTGACTTTGTACAAAAAATTATCTGAATATTTAAAGTAGAAGTGGAAGGCTTGCGCGGATATATTCTTGTTTGAATGAAAGTTACACATGGAGGTAAATGAATACGTCGCTAAGAATTTTCATGCATATTTCATGGCCTGAATTTTGAAGTTATGTTCAGAGTGGGATTACGTACTGTTCACTTTGAACCATAAAAGAGCCTCCCATTATGGCTGTTCTTTAATGATTTTTATAATATATGAAGAGATAATAATCGGGTGATTTATTTTTAAAATAGCCAGACTGAGTGATCAAAATATAAGGTTGTGAAGTCTGAATATCCTCAAATGGCATGTTGGTTACGAACGTCAAAAACGGTGTGAATGCCATTTAGAAAAGTACAAGGTGAGATTACTCTTGGCTTTCTTTCAAAAGAGCTTTTTCAATATCTCTTAATTCCACTCATTTAAACGAATTCCTTTCCACTCTGGTTGAACTACTTATTTTAAGAATCCCATGTCCTTTTCTCTTTCCTAGCAATAACGTGCTTAGTGACTTACTATTGAACTCAGAGTTCGCCTTTCACATCCTCATCTGTTTAGGAGCCGGCGGTTAAGATCCCGGCAAAAAGGCCCACAGGAAATAAAATTTTTTCAATTATATTTAGCATTTTACCTAAGGTACAATTGGACTCTGGAATGGTCTTTCCACACCCCATACTCTTCGATAAGTAGTCAATTAATGCGAACATCTCAAGCAACAGAGGAAAGCGGCAATTGCATGACATGATAATACAAGTCAGCACTATGCAGTCAATATCCTGAAGTGAGTACTGTTTGGTAAGTGAATATTAACACCACAAAGATTTCAAAACACGAAATTTCATATATTCAACTGATAACAATAATAAGGGAGGGTAATAATTGCGTTAATCGGTGTTGAGGATTAGGCAGACACCTTCAAGTATCCAGAAGGAGTTATGCTGATTTGAAGGTAGGTGGAGACTCGTTACATAGCCTTCACCCATGGAATTGCGTCTTGAGCTTGTCACATAGATGGGGACTTCCACAGTGCCTGTTAGCTTCAGTTTATGACGTTCGATTGGAGTCATACGAATCACGGGCATCTCCTGAATTAAAGCACGCGGAGATTGGTGTACAAGGCTGTGCTCCTGTCAAATCATAAAGGAATTTCCTTCGTGATAGTTTTATATTCTAATTTGTAATATATGCACGTATTCGTTTAAAAAAAAGATAGTATGGAGGCGGATGCATAGCTTCAACAAAGAAATAGTTTGAGGGAAAGGTTGATTTTGGGTTCCTAGGATTCAGAGCGATTTACTTATTTCCTGCTCAGTCTGAAGGGCAAGGTGCTTCCACCTTTTTCAAACGATTATATATGGAGCCTCAATCATGAATCGGAGGTCACAGTACCTTTTTATGACAATTAAAACAGCTAGCAATCTTGATACTATTCCTGAGGAACTACACTTTTGCCGTTCGAATGACCTTAAGGTGAAGATTTACACTACCAGAGATGGTAATTGGCTTTGTAGGCTGTTTTATCCCTAATGGAAAGCTAGAAAACAAGTTTGCTGTCGCATTTCGAGCTGTCTCTGATTTTTTTGCTGATAGAACCGACTTAACTCAATAGACATCCATCAGCAGACACGGTTGGGCCCGGCGTGGAACAGAGCCACATTAACGATGAGTGACCGCAAAAATGTTGTTAAAATTTAAATCAAAAGACAACCGCTCAGAACTCGCACGACCCACTCGTCGGAGCGCTGCACACTCACTCACTCACACCCTCACCACGAGGGCGAGGATGGCAAGAGCGCAGTCACAACCCACTCTCCGACAACGCGATCGACTAGGTAAACGACCAGGTCTGCTCGGTATTAGCGCTAACAGCCATGAGCCTTGTCACGCTGACGGACGCACGACACGCTTCCTCAACACGGCTGAGTATCCAGGATCAGGTTTGACTGACGTCCTGGTGACGCGTACCGTAGGAGTGATCCCTAGAAGTATAATCATGAAGACCATTGCGCCGTCTCACTCGCCTTACACCTCCACACCAACTTGCCATCTTCACCGCGCTCACTCACCCAACCATCCCAATAGCCATATGGGTCACAAAAGCAGTCTTGGCGCGTCTTCTGCAGCTCACTTTCCACCAAAGTGTGCTGCATGGCATCCGAACTCTCCTGCCCACTCGGCCAACTGTGCGTGGCAATGCGATGACACGGGCAGAGTAAGTGCTAACACATACTACTCACAAAATGGCAGCCCGAAAATCAGCTCGGAGAAGATCTCTTTCCGAGATTGGTTTGTCGGATGAGATTGAAATAATAAGAAGAGAAATAACTTTCTGTAAATTGTATTAATTCCCGGAGCACTTACGACGTGATTACACTTAAAGAGATTTTGAGGCTATCGAACAAAAACCAGTCAAATTTTAAGGCTCCATAAGTGATTCGATAATGACATAATATCCCAACCAATGTGAGCAAACGAAAATGAATGCTGGAAGTTGCAGGAACGAAAGATATTCAAAGAAAAAAGTCTTGAAACAGACCTCAACACTCCAGGCGGATCCTTCAAGATAAAGGCCAATGATATTGCAACCGACTTCTGGAGCCATAAGAATACTGGATATATCCGAAGGTTGGACATCAGTAACAAATGTAGACATCGTACACTTATCTAGAGCCCAGCCGTTCTTACGACACGCCTTTTGTATCAATGCAGTTAGGTAGGATTGTGGTAGGTGTAAACCTGATAACCACATAACTGGAAGCTCACTTCGACCAACATCAGCCTGGGGATAATAAATTCTCAATTTAAATAATCTTGTTTACTCATTTTATAACACTGATCTCAGGTGAACTCACCCAAGATTTATATTGTTCATTTCTCTGAATTAATTGCTGTAGCCAATCAGCCAGACTTTTTTCAGTTGCTGGTACCAATTTTCTCCATGCGGCAGGTATTGTTCCACGTCCAAGGCAAGCAGCAACAGCATCCAACTCAGTTGACATGCCAACCTCTCCAGCAATAGCTCTTCTCAAATCGGTCAACGAATTTCGCATCTCGCGTAGAATGAGATTAAATCGATCCAACTCCTGCTGGAGAACCACGATTGTTGGCGTGATTTCTCCGGAAATGCGGCGTTTGCGAATAGATTTAACGTCGAACGGAGGAGGCAAACGACCTAGAATACTTGCAGCCATGGAGTCAAGGACAGCGTCCTTTGTCTGAACACCTTCACTATCTAATCCACCTCCATCTTCAACGGATAATTTTGACTTCCTGAAGAAGTTCGATTCCGTTATGCTCTTGAATGGAAGAACAAACGATTTTAAATAAACACTGAGCTTCACAGAAAGTTTCACTGATTTAGTCCATTCGTACCTTACTATCTGAGTCATAATCGAGATCTTCGTATTCTTCTGGTTCCTCTTCATAATCGTCATCTACTTTCTTTTCATTACTCAGTTTGGTGGATTGAGATTGTCCAGAGGCACCACTGACTGTAGGTTGATATATAGGTACACCGATTGTCTTCGAACGTTCTTCCTTCTCCCTGATTAAGTTTGCGACATTTGCTGCGGTACGTGACAATGCCGAGCCGTCGGGAATTCCTGTCACAGCATCGGTTTCGGGTAGGAGATTCTGAAGATTCGCCCAAAGGCCACGAGCAAATTTAACAGCATAACCGATTGCTGTATTGGCATGCAGACCAAATACATTTGGCTTTTGTTGGATGGGCCAGACCTCGACGGTTCCTGAAAATTAAAAATACCGTTTAAGAATATATATTGCAAAATTTAAATTTGTTTATTTTTTTATCCTTGCGCATGCAAGTACTATCCACCAATTTTTCATTGAATATAGTTCCAAATACTTAAATGATCATCCCTATTTTTAAGATAGACACAAGGAATGCTTATATTCCATAATAAATTTCCTGATTTTACAGAACTATTAGGTTTATGAAAGTAAACCGCGTTTAAGTTCCGGCACGAAATCGTGATAGATGTGTGGGACACGTTATCGCGTTGTGCGTCATCGTACGCCTGCATGTCTGCTCGCCAGGATTGGGAGGTGCGGCCCTACAACTCTGTGTGCAGCGACCGTACAAACAGTGACCAATCATCAACTTCTGTTTAACCTAATCTCCCATCCTGATCATGGGTAGCACCATGCGTGTACGTTTTATCCGCAATACCCATCCTGAATAAACGTGCTCCGTGCTACGCATAATATGCTCACTGAATAGACGTGCTCCGTGCTACACGTCTGATTCCTTTATAGCTGGGCTATAGCTTAGCTATTCTGGGAGTCTAGCTAGATGTAGGAGAATCTGCCACAGATACTGGGAGTCTAGCTAGATGTAGAGAATCTGCCATAGAGATTTCTAAGTCAGTCAGGCTTTACTTAGGGAATCTGCCATAGAGACTTCTGAGTCAGTCAGGCTTTACTAGCGTAGCAATCCGCTACAGACGTATATTCTACTCGTGTCCAAACTAAAATATGTATAATAATCAATAATTTGAACATATGGGCTATCTTAGTAAGTGGTTTGTGATTTGCAATTAGCAATTTCCATCAGTTAATCTCCATGTTAATCCAGAAATCCCCAAATGCTTCATTCGTCATTAAATCCTATCTTAGCTTCTGCCTTGGTCAAGATGACGATCCTCTCACTAGGTATTTATGAAGATGAAAGGGAGTAGATCCTTGTAAAAATATATTCATACGGAAAAGTATTTCAGAAGAGAGGCTAGGCGAAGGCTGAGATGTTTAAACGACTATTTATCAATTAAGGTTAAGGAGAAAAGGGTGGGGCTCAATAAGGACAACAAACACTTATAATTTGAAATTTACTTCAAAGCTTTGACCATAGGCTTAGAACAGATATATTCTACCAATAAAATCATTTGGAACCAGTCTACGAAATACACAATAACATTTACTGCTAAGAAATTATATCGGAAATTATAATTGATCCTTATTCAAAAGGGAATTAGTAGAAAGCTCTATATATAGAATTCAAATTTTGCTAAAATTCTTGCTCAACTTTTGCAACGTCATTTGAGAAGTATTAAAAGAGCAACGTTTCTAATTTGTAAAGTCCAATATTTAGAACTGTGGATTCTAAATACCACTCTAAAATAAACATATTGTACTTACTCAGGAAGTTTTCACGATAATCATTAATCCCATCTGGTTCAGCAGGAATCATATAGTCGACTTGCTCATCATGGTAAAAGTGGAAAGTCTGGAACTCGTCAAATAAGAAATCTCCAAAATATTCGTCCATATAGGTTTTGAGTACACGTCTGTCAAAAGAATCGATTGTACGACCACCATACATAACCTAAGGTAAAAATTTAAGTTGTACAACAAAATGTATGCTAACCTCGCCAATAAGATACTTTAAACTAGGCCATTTGATCGGGTTCTGCTCAGCGGTTTCATTGAGCGATTTCTGTATTATCAGCAATGATACGTGGAGATCAGCATCAGCAAAGTCGTAAGGGATGTTCCAGCCCAATTTGCCATAGCGTCTACGCTCTTGTAGTATACCATGAAGGAACACTAGTACAAACATGATTGATCTGTACTTTGAGTGACTAGATGCAACGAAATGGCTGTTATCAAGCTTATTCAGCGACGATGTGATATTCTGCCGCAAACCACTGGGCGATTCCATTACAACCTAGGAGTTAGAAGAGGAACATTGAGATATTCTGTGCCATATTTTAAAATATAGCACATTCCAGCAACTTACTTTGTAGGCGATTTGAAGGAGACCAACAGGGAATGTTGTAACAGGTTCTGTAGTTAGCCAAAGTCGAAAATCTGGATGCGGATTCACAGTATTTTCTAGCATAAGTTCAATTTTAGATGTGTAGGAAAGTAGTAAATGACAGTTTTGTAGAACCAGCCAGTGTCCACGGGCCACACAGCTAGCAAATAGGTTTTCTGCGGCCTAAGTGAACAGAGGATCACACAGTAATTCTAATTAATGGAACCCTATTATAATTCGGATTTCCAATACACCTACAGTTTCTTGACCCTGTCCAAGAGATAAATACCTTATTTTGCTTATTCCAAAGTCTACACTCTGTGCTAAATTAGCTAGAGCAGCCGGTGGATCGGCGCCAGGTTTGACAATCAATACAATAGGATTTGTTGGAGTTGTAGATACCAGAACTTCATTGAGTGCTGTAATCGGTGGTGTTACATAGTTATGACCCATTGTAGCGTTGATGAAAAGCGAAATTGCAGAAGTAACTCGGTCATTACGCCACACCCGAATGAGACAAAGCTTTGCGAACGGTTCCAATTTTTCAAATCGGCCAGGGAAACGTTGAGCCTCTGGTGCTTCAGAATCGAACCACTAGAAAGTATCAGAGAATTCAGAATGATCTAGATAAATAATAATGCCAGATTACCACATTGTACTAACCTTTCTCCACGTATCGGGAAAAGTTACAACGTGCTCGGGCAATTTCCCGAACTTCTTCGGGAGAAACGTTGCAAGGTAAAGACAGTCCCGCCAAACTGACAAAGGTATCCAAGGTTGAGGCGACGGAAAATGCTCGTCGGTTAAGCAAAGATCACCACGAACAAAGAAATTAAGTTCCTTCGGCGGAAGGTTTTCAGCATCTTGTTGCATTCGAATAGCCAATTGAAAAGACAGAAGGAGTTTGTGTTCCTCGAAAATTGCTAAAGGCAAATAATTGTTAGTCGTTCATCTCACCCAATTAAGTACGAATCTGAGAGTCACTAATAATTCATTTAACTTAGACTTACCAGTACATCCATATGAAAATACAAGATAAGTGAGAGTTGACTTAATGTTCTCCAGTCTTTTCGGTAATGAGTTATTAGGCATTGCTCTCTTGAGAGATTTCACAAAGACTTGCATAAAGGAAGATAGTGAAAACTGGTACATTGGATCCACCATTGCTAAATCAGCAATAATAAAGAAGAGAATTGCGCCCCGACTGTAATATGGAAAGACAGGTTTATCTTAATATTCCTGTCTACCAAAATGTAGGAAATGGAAGTATTTTCTAACCGTGCAGCCGGACGATAGATGTTACGTTGCCTGTCCACATCCAAGGCGACTTCGGCAGACTGCGCTAAAGCGTGACCGACGTCGACTGCCTTGTCTTTTGTCTTCTCCAAGGTCTCAATCAACTCCCAGTTATCGAGGATGTTGCCTGCTTGAGTAGCCAATTCTAATAACAACCGGTCTTCCAGCTCCTTCAAGATACGTTTATTCTCACTAAAATTTATATTTATACTTGTAAAGTAAAGGACAATTTATCAATGCAAATTAACAAATAGAAATGGTCACCTCGTATCCTTAATAAGATATTCCCGTTTTTCCTCCAGTTCCTTATATTCATGTTTGACCAGAGAGGATAGCAATTGACCTTCTAAACCAGTCGCCGTAACCGTATAGTTAATGATAAGAGTATGACTGTAGAGATTGGGTTTAAAACGAGGATATGGCAGCTTTGTGGTCAAGTAGAGACGGAATCCATGGCTATACTCAACCTCTCGATCACCCAGCATTACAATTTCCCGATCCCGATCTCCTATAATTTGAAATTAGTAAACAAATCAAATAAAGAATTTTGTATTGAAAACGTAATATCGACAATAGTTAAGAAGACGCACTTCTTATATCCCTGTCAATTACATTATTCATCAAAGGATCAATATCCTCTTCAACTCCAGTAAACATAATCGCAGTACCAAATCTTATGCAGTTCTCCAAAGTCCTTTGGAATTGAGGATCGTTCATTGTTGTGATCTAAACGTAAGAAATACGTAAGTTGATGATAAATTTAATCCGAACCAATTGTTATCTTGAATCCCACTTTTATAGACCGTGTTTCATCTTTCGGATTTCGCTCCATTACTCGAAGCCATTTTGTGGCTTGTCCCTGAGGATCAATGCAAACGGGAGTTCTAGGTCCTTTCGTGGTAAGGATTGCGTTTTGGATACTGAGTTCATCCGGAGGCAAACCCTGAGAATTCCACGTAGAAATCTCTACATCTGAAGTTAGCAATTCCTCCACTTTGAAACCTTCACTCACAGGGATCTATAAGGGTTAATGAACGGAATTTTTGAAAACGTAATTGACGAAACAATATATGCAAACGAAGTATTTCATACATCGTCATTGGCAAGATTCTCGACCCATTCTTTATAAAGTAAGAGAGATCGGAATTCTTGAGTGAATGGACCAAGATAGTTAAGAAAACCAGATGCCAGAAGACAATGACCCAGAATTTTCTCTTTGTCTTTCTTCAGTTCGGCAACGGTTTTAATCCATCTGGATGAACGAGAATAAGACGTACAAAAACAACGAAAAGTAAATAAGAATAACGTAATTATCTACAAACCGTTCTTTCTCAGAAGCCAGCCCAGAAGTGAGTTTCTCGGCTGCAAGTAGTTGTCTCAACATAATATTCATATCTGACTTCAGTTTATCCATTTCGCCTTGAGCCTCAGAATATTGCCGGCGAAGATTAGCTAACATCTCTTCCAATTGGACAACTTGATCATTTAACATTTTCAATTCACGAATCGCCTTGTTTAATTCGGTTTCAAGAAGTTTCACACGCTCACGTTTAGGACGAACTACCTTCGCCACATCGTAGAAAGCCACCACAGAAAGAATGAACTTGAAGAAACCTCCACCCGCTTTACTGGCTGCTCGAACTTCTTCATATCCCATGTTTCTCTTCGCGATAAGATCTGCAAAAAAATATTAAAGAGAATTAAAAATTTGAAGTTGTGTCTCAGTAGAGATCAGTAGCATTTTGCCGTCATGCTCGGCAGGTAGATACCAACAAGTACTGGAAGGAAGGCCTATGATTGTTCACCATTTGGGTTAACCCGCTTTATTAATGCTACCTAATTATACTTCAGATGAGATCTTATAATATTTTTTATGTGAATATTGAGATTTTTTTAACTTCAAGAAAAATCGATAATAATAACTGATTTTACACTCTGCGGAGTTAGCATAATAACCAATTTTTCAATCTGCCTCAAACTAGGAATAAAACATTTTATCTAGAGTAATAAGTGATATATGAACTATAAAGTTGCAAAAAAATGGCTCATATTATTTTTTTAAAAGGCAAGCATCTTCTACCTTCTTGGTAACTTCCTATTTGATTAGAAGAAACTTCGTGTTTCCAATAACTGTCTATCACTAGTCTCTCCTTCGCTTCAGAATTAGCCTCTTACTAAAGCGGGCTAAGATATGATGGTCCTAGCAATGCGGATTTTTGGTTACAAGCTTAATACTTCCCCCAAAATGATAAATATTGATAATAATAGACATTTCAACTGCTTAACTTTGAGTGCGTTAATGTTCTTTTGTGGGATGGCTTCGCAGTCCATAGTCTGCAATGTTTTGATGAAGTTCGCATCAGCCATTAAACCTCTGGCAGCTTTCCAACTAGTATCTTCTACCGACATGACGTAACAGAGACATTCACCGACCAATTGGACCTAAGAATTTAGTTTACACAATAAATCATTTATGTGTGCCTTTGGCCATTAGGCAAGGTCTTAACCGCTACTTACAGCTTTAGGCGGAGTAACGAAGGCTCGAAATTCAGTCACATCCGCTTTGTCCAACTCGTCTAGGGCTTTTTTAGCGGCTTCTAAAGCTGGCAAAGCTTCAGCCAAAGCCACTTCGGCTTCACTCTTGAAGAATAAAGTAAAAATGCATTCAAAAGTTTTGTTTAAGTGGGACTTCTTAGAACATTTTGACAGTCCAAGTATCTAACATTGGTATATGCAAGATCACAAATCTGCAGTTATAAATTAAATTAGTATTTTGCAAATACTTCGTGTACAATTGAAATTAAATGGTCTTTCTGAACAATACTGGTGTATGTGGTCGACAGCCTAAATAGAGCGTAAAAACAAGTATAGGAAAATAAGGTCAACCAGGTCCAGTCTAAGCAGCCATTCATTCCTCTGATATGGTATCATAAACTACATTAATGCGACCGATATCTTCTGGCTCAGATTTACCGAATTCCTATTGAGAACACGCAAATTAAACTTACCAATTATATTCGAAACTATTGACTTTCAACTCTGGGTTGACGATTTACTAGAAAAACCTTAGCATATCATAACTTCCTATTCTCGTATAACCCCACTTCAACCCTCTCACAGCTGACACCTGCTTCATTCCATTAAAATTACCAATTACTCTTGCCAATTTGCAAATTTAGAAAACAAAATAATGAACTTTATTAGCATGAACAAGGTGGAATCATCCAGACATACCTTTTCCTTAGTAATAACTTTCTGCTTTGCGGCAACATCAACTGACTTAGCTTGCGCCTCAGTCTTCTTAGCGGTAGCAGTTTCGGTAGAAGATTCAATTTCCTTCAAGAGTTCTTCGCATGACTTCGTCTTCTCTTCCAATATCACTTTCTGAACTGCCATTTTGGCATTAAGTTCATCTATCTGCTTTGCTGTTTCCTTCAGCTTTTCTAGGCCCACATTTAAACGGTCTTGACTTGCTTCATTTTCACTGAAAAGCAAGTTAAGGAAAATAAAGATGAATCATTCGATGTAACATAACCAGATTATGGAATAAAGTCTATATTTTGAAATCATTCTTACTCTAACTTCTCAACAAGGAGCTTCTTAAAGCCCTTAATAAAGCCGATATAGTTTGTAGCGGTGACATAGTTGTCCCTTCGCTGTTGATTCTTCAGCTCAATTGAAGCATCCTTTACGGATATATGGACGTTCACTACATTTTCAACTATGGCGTCCCAATACTGACGAGGAATATGTGGATCCTGAAAAGAATAAATCATTCATGATTTAGAAGCTAATAAACAAAAAATGACAATAAATTGATAGATTTATTGAAAGCATTTATGCTCAAAAACTATGATTTTGTAACAAGTTTGACTTCACTAACTGCTTTTTTTTATACAATTCAATCCGATCAACCAATTTTCAAAATTAGGTTGGAGCTCTTTGTTAACTTGGCCTTGTTGTGTGCGCTAAGTCTATTCCTTTTGAATAGATTTTCTAATTTAATCATTTATATTTAATTACTACCCAACAATCGCGTCTCCTATTATGTACAAAAAATTCCAATTTCACAGATCTGCGACTTTAAAACGATAGAGGTAAAACTGACTATTAATTTCTAAAAAACAAGTGAAGTGACCTAATTAGGGCTCTTGACTATATATTTGCTGGAGCCAAATGTATTGGAGTATGTTTTTCCTTGATTTGAAAATTCGCCCCCTATAAATTAATGATAACAATAAAAGACAATTAATCTTCGAGTATAAGTTCTTCAGTTTGTCTGTTGTTATTATCTTTAAAACCAACACATACTACCCCGAAAGGGGGGTCATAAACATTTCGTTCGTTTGAATTCAAATAGGTCAGCAGAAAGAAAGATGTGCTCTAGTTACTCCGATTATTCTTATTATGTTGATGTAGCTTTGATTTGTCCAGCCAATAGAAAGCACCTGGTATAAAGGTGACAGTCTCACCGAGAGAAGAAACATCAGGTGGTAATTATAAAGCCTAGCCTTAACAACAGTGATCAGGATATTTCTCGTAGGTAATTGAAATAAAATTAAGCCGATCTTTAAAAAATACGGAGGCAATCAATCACCCTCGGAGGAGGGCGTACATCCGAAAATCATGACAATTTGGTCTGATTAAGTCTCCTTGACAGGGGTGGCAACCTTTGTCAGCCGATATTCAGTGTGCTGTGGTTTTGTTTTGGTAAAACTTTTTTAGATAGGATGGAACAAGGGTGTTTGCGCATCAGCGGAATACTTCCTTTTTTTCCAAAGGTGTCTTCGCTTTTGGCAGACGTCAAGTGTTGCAGTCCTTTCTGTTAGAAGTCCACCTCTCCTATGCATGTTTGTGCAGGTATTAGCGAGTCTTAATTAAGAAGAGGAGGCTGGACATTCAAGTAACCCAGACAAAGCCCTAACTACGATGCCAAGGTGCTCCAACTCTTTTGCGTAACACTCTTCGGCAAATTCAAAGCTGCTATTCGAACGGAATTAACTAAGATAATCTATCATGTTGCTACCTTCTAGTCACAGCAGACCAATAGCCTCCATTCCGATTTGTTTTCAGTGCTGAAATAGCAAGGAACAGCCACCATACTATATTTTAGTGGCCATCGCTAATTATTATGATACAATTTATTCTCTTTCATTCATAACGTAAATACATGAAGAGAGCTTTGTTCTTTGAATGAAATTCTAGCGTCTGAACACCATTTAAACATCTGGAAAAACACTTAAATCTTGTTTTGTACTTGATTTTTAGTCATCAGGAACCAGATCGATCAATACATTTTCGTAAGAATAGGTCACCATACCCACGCACCCAGTTAGTATTTACTGAGTTCTTTTCGCCACTATTAAAGTAGCTAATTAATGGAAGCACATTACAATTAAAAATAAGCCTTAAATAACAATTAGGTGAAAATTACACGAACCTCAGGGTCAATGAGAGTGCACGCTACAGCATAAAGAGCTTGTTCAGGCCAAGGGAAAAACCAATCGATTGTTGTACAGTTGACAATACCAGGAAAATCTCGACATCGGTTCCGAAGATCATCTCCAGCAGGGCTCATACACAAAGCCATGTGAAGACGGGCTGTACAGTCGCGAGCAAACCACTTCCACACAGCCTCTCTGTTAACCGTGGCCGACACTCCAGAGATGGATCGAAGGGCCGCTTCAGCCTTAGGCCAGACATTGTTGATGATAGCCTCTTTATCTTCATCACCGAAGAGGGAAACAAGACATCCTGTGGTGAGGATATTATTTACGAATTCTAGGAAGCCTAAAGAGAAGAAAAATATGGATATAATGAAGTGAACCCTAATTACGACATGTCTATTATGCTTCTAACCTCTAAATGAATATACATTAGGAGATTATCTTGTTCCTTCGCATAGTTATAGAGTGTGGCCAAGATAAAAGGGGTTCAGTGCCTTGTGTCGAAATAAGTGATATTAAGTGCTTTGCGGGGTCACATAATGCCCTGGGACTTGGTACTTTTAGACAAAGAATAATAATTTACCTTACCGTATTCGCACAGAGCCCTGTTTACATTGGCCACCCTGTAGTATCTGTATCTCAGATTGAACTATTGCCTACTTTACAACACATTTATGACTGAGTGAATTTCACTGATTGGAGGATTATATTATTACGATATTGTTAAATGTTCAATTATACTCGTGGCAACTAGCCAATAGGCAGTTAAAGGAAGCACGTATAAATTGATGACCTCGAGATCTTATTCATCATGGTATGTCTTGGTTTTAGGATAGAGTAAACAGAGTTGATCGCCTATAATAGTGAGACGGCAAATAAAGTTGTAATGAAATTATTGACCCATAGACAATTTTGGCCGAAACCAAGGGAGTATATTTTTAGAGAAAGGAAGATGTGATTTTAACACCTAAACTACTTTAGTAAATAAATAAATTTTTTTAAACAACTTTTCATAAATTGAAATACTTTCAAAAAATCAAAAATGCCTTAATAGTGTAATGATTTACCTTCATTTCGAATATGCGTATCATTAAAGATAAACAGATAATGATCAATATTGTCAGCCATCATAGTGTAGAGTCTTTTGATATCTTCGCAGAGTTCAGCTTCGCCATAGGATTTGCTCAAACTAATTTCGAAGACACGCAGACCAGCAATGAATGCAGCCAATCTTGCCAAGGCCTTTTTGCCCGAACCTGAGACGCCTACAAGGAGAGCGTGGCCACCTTCCAAACGCAGAATGCGATGGATCACACTGAGGTGATTTAGAGCATCATTGAAAAGAACCAAATTGAGATTTCCGACTTGTTCATTGTAAGACACCATTAACTAGAGGGCATATATTCACAGAATGAAAAGAGTGGTGTATAGACTTTTAATTGAAAGTCACCAGCGAGTAAAATGATAACAGTATCTTCCTAACTGTTTCTTCTGTAATAACATTTACAAATAAGTAAGTCACTCGATTGATATTATTCATTTTAGAAGAGTCTTGATTGTGTCCAATCTTGAAACTTGCCTTTATTCTTTTGGAGTAAATATAATCTATTTATCTCTACCTTTAAATAAATTATATTTGATAACTTGTTCATTATTTAAATAACTGATAGACTAGCGTATTCTGATTCCAAATTGTCACCACTAAATCCACACTAAGTGCACAATGGTGGTATGGCTGAACAAAGAAATCTCATTTGTCCTCAGACAGACTCAAAGGAGCGGTCGTGCGCATAGAGACCTCTCAATTAATCACCAATTAATAGTCCCTACATAGTTCAGCATACTCTTAATTGTACTATAATGACAATCTACCTGTTTTTTCAACACACGATCGAAATAAACATATTCCACATCAACGTCAGCTTCCGCTTTAGTTTTGCGGTAGCTTAGATAATCCTGGGAACCATTCCAAACAAGATCAAAATATAGAAATTACTGAACATAAGTCAAGGCTTATTAATGTAGCGATTCGCTGTAACACTATTATATTTGAGATAGAACATTGTAAATGCTATTTTAATTAGGCCCTCATCGATTTCCCATGCCTTTGAGTATGTGAATTGAATTTTTGACCTTATTTAAGTTTAATGAACAATGGAGCACTTTGTGATTAATCAAATTCTTAAACATGGAATGTGCATGTGGAATGGCCTGAAATAAGAACTCAAATGTAGAACTAGATACCAATGTATGACCCCTTAATGATTGTATATTGAGCAAGACGTAATTTCGTTTAGAGGAATTAGATTTAAATTACAACAATCTTTGAAATACAACTTGATTTCGCGCTCGACCTAATTAAATCTAATTGCTTTTAAAAGTGCGACATTTGCTCAAGCATCATACAACTTGGAGTATTATTGTGGATGAGTAAAGATAGTTATGACTTGAAAAGAGATCCGTTTAGGTCTAGCATGCGAACAATTTGTCCAAAAGTTCTCTACCTCATAATCTCATTTTAACCATAATTTGGCCCTAAATACTATCGAATAAATTTTATCCCTAGAAATCGGAATAAATGAGTGGCATATGCTAAGATATTAAATATCGCACCTCCTCCGTAATGGCTTTGCAGACATCAAAGTCTTGCATATCCTCATAGTAGTCCTCTTCATCCGTGTTGGCGGCCCAATAATCACCAAAGATAAGTGGATCCATCATTGCGTAATCCATACTTTCTTCAAAATACTTGTGCAATTTACTCGATATGATATTCTAGAGGGAAATAATCATTATGAAAATTTGGTAACATTTTGGCAATTTTTGGTGAAAATAAACGTACATTCACTGTGGCTCTGTCATCATCATTGATGAGACGATCGTAGAAGCTTCTCAAGATTTCATGTCTCCATAACCGGAGGATCTTTTTAGGTTCTTTGTATTTCGTCGGAATCGCCTGACACATTCCTTGGAACACTCTTGAAATGTCTCTCAAATTAAATGTGTAATGGAATTTTGTAGGAGTAGGTAGTAAACTATTTTTGATCTCAAAATATGTCTCAACACTCATGCTAGTTATATCATTCACCATAATCTTTACGCTGTCTTCAAAACCTGTTGCAAAGTGACCGCCAAGAATGTTTCCAAAAATACTTCTGAAACTGTCCTCCGAAGGAGAAAGACAATGGAAGACAGAGAAAAAGGAAACGAATCGAGGATCGAGTGACTTTCGGCCTCCTCCAGGGGGGCCCATGCCTCCAATGTAGGTGATATCCCTGAGAGACCGCCAAACCAACTCCTTTCCTTGTTCATAAAGGCCTCCACGTTCAAGAATCATTCGTAATAGGGCTATTGGTTGTTGTGTTCCATAATTATCTTCCTGAGGCATATTCAAATCATCTATGAAGACAATCAACTTCTTCCCTGGCATTGGTCCATAGACCCCCTTTGCGCGCTTCTCCACGTTAGCATTTAAGCTTCGAAGAAGGTCCTTTGACGAAGTGCGAGAGGAAAAATTAATTATGAGAGAACTGGTCACGTCGGGATTGAACATTTGGATAGTAGAATGCGTAGTTGATGTCTTGCTTGTACCTGTTTCACCAACTATAAGAAGTGGCCTATTCATCAGAAACATTTCTTTAAGAATCCATTCTAGTTTAATGGTCTCTACAGTGGGAACAAAGAGTTCTGGATAAGGTATAGCTGGGTTATGAATGTACTGGGGAACAAGACGCCGCCATTCTACCCAATGGAACTCCGTCAGATCAAACATATAGTCATAAAGATGATCTGCGTGAGATGGAAGTACGCCTAGAGGAGAACACAGAAAGTAAGTTAATCGTTTATTACAGAAATACGATTAACATACCTGGATTGACAAAAGGCATTCCATCGCCCTCATCGAAAGTATTCAAGCCGGATAGCGCTTTGATAGCCCCATCTATGGTGATTTGATCCTTTAACTCTAATGGGGCTACAAAAGCCCAGTAGAGACAGAACAAGAATATTGCCTCTACAACATCAGGATGATCGAAGGTAAATTTGGTATCGAATGCTGTCGCTACGTCCTGTTCCGATATTTCAGTAGCCATTGTCTTTATAGTAGGTGTAGAGACAGCGGAAATGATCTGCCATTATAAGAATAATTAAACCCTTCATATCGACATCACAAATGCAAATAACTTAACGAGAGAACTTGCTAGTATTACCGATAACTCTCCCAACGTTTTCGTCTCTAATTGTGCAGTTTTTGCCGTTGATTTTTCTAATTTTTTTTCTTTCCCTGCCTCTTTCCTTTCCTCTTGTCTAACATTGCCTGAAAGGGAAGGCAATTGCCCCAAATTATCAGTGCCCGGTTCTGATCCTTCTGATAGCTGGGCGGAAAGAAGAGCGCATAATTGAATCATGGAGTGCATTGAACTGGAAGGAATTACGTGGTGAACTTTTGTAGCTTTAGAGGAATCCTCGCCTTCTATTTCAAATAATATAAAAACTAATTTTAAGTAGGTTTCAATAAAACTCTTATTAGTATTACTTTAAAATAACTGGCTTGTTAGCAGACTAATAACAGAATGGTTTGCATTGAAAATTTGTTACTAGTACGACTTAATCTATTCACGTCAGCACAAAGTGATGAATACGGCAATTTGGACTTTCAATGAGCTTTAATTTTTCAGTTTCGGATGAGATTAGAGCAGGTGATAATCAAAGGAGTTAGAAATGTCCGTAGTGACGCATTAAAAACAGGGTGGGCAAACGACTGGATACTTTAATAGAGCAAGTTGTTACCAAACAGGTAGAAAGGAAAAGCCAAAATAGGTTAAAGGTTACTTCAGTGCAGTTATATTCGCTTACATAATCTAATATGGGTTCCTAGTCCAATATCTACTTATAGTTCGATCCAAAATTAAGACAATGGACTCGGTTAAATATGCTTAAAACTCATTGTTCCTATTCATTTAGAATTTCAGCCTTCTCTATATCAATTGACATTGGTTCTGTTTTATCTTAATAAGAGTTGGTCATTTTCATCTAATGTCGTTATTCCAAGTGAACGTCTTGTTTCGAGCGAGCCCTCCAGACTAGGGAAACAGATATGGTAAGGTCAGGGTTAAAAACGGATGATGGAAGAGGTGGACAGCAAAAAATCAGACTTGACTATCTAGCGCTTTACCAAAATTCACTCTACGCAGAACTGGAGAAATGGGATGAATGTTAAGTAACGATTGGGAATACAAGGGACATTACTGAAGCGATGACCTTAGACTTTGAACATAGTGTTCCTGCCATGCTCTCACTATTCACCATGAATCGGCTACCAAATCAGTTAGGTGTTTTGCTATTAGCAGTCGCCATTCAATTTTTAACAGTGAGAAACTGTTACCACATTGACAACTTTTTCCATATAGTCAATTCTATGGCGAAATCATACTCTTAGTATTTTTAAATTACATAGCTATATTTATCAATGCAATTATCCACATATTCTGCAGTAGAGGTATAGCTACAAAATCAAACTACCTGATGTAGTAGATGGTCGTTTATTACGTCCTTTGGGCTCACCAAATCCACCAAAAGGAACGATTCCTTCGAATATAAGGTCCATTAACTTGGGAATGTATTTCTTGTAAAGAAATTCTAGGCTATTGCGGTAATTTTCATTTTGAATACTCATTAACTAAAGGATGAAATATTTACAAATCATTGAATTTTATAAAATCATCTTTCATTCTCCTTTACAGGTATATATTGCTTTTCCTCACCCAGGCATTCCAATAGGCCTCGTAGGTGAGATTTGTGGGATCTACATAGACCATACCACAACGTGACACTGTTGCTGGCGATGCATACTTCAAATCTCCAACTTCAAAGACAAGTGAACAATATGGCTGTAATTTAATGCGCTCTCCGTTAACTAGAGTAAGAAGTCGATTATCATCCATAACAGAGTTCATGTTCTCAATCCACAAGGAATCAACGTCGCCGTCGAAAACAAAATACCTTCTTTCATCCTGATCAGTAGGTATATTAATTTGACGGAAAATCATGGACAGCAGACCGTCTGTCCATTCACGACTTGACGGATCCAATGTGCCGTAGAGATCATTCACAGAACGGTCTTTTGGATTTATGACGTGAAGTTTAGTTGGCAAACCCATACTAGAAAAAGTTAAATTAAAATAAGTACGGAAATTCAATTCACGACAATAGCTTTTGAATATATTTACATGCGTTGGGCATTGGCTAAGGTATTGAGAACAGTTGTCTTCCCTCCCAATGTCGGTCCCACAAGCATCACAGAGTGCCTAACAGCCAAAGTATCTCGAAGATGGATTACTTTTTGGAGCTGTAACAAATAAATAGTGGGTTTAAAATCTTTTTAAGTATTCACTGAACAGATTATTGAGCTAGCAGAATGTCTTACCTGTGTTTCAACAATAGAATACCTCTGAAATCTGAGCACTTCTGTGGCGGCACGTACAAGGTCCGGATCAGAACTATGAAGGTCAAGCTCAACACCAGGGAAGAGATCCTGCACCAGACCCAAAAAGAGAGGTACATCTTCATGAACAAATCTAGGCAAGTTGGTGTTCTTCAAAGCTCGCATGAGTAGCTTATCTTCCCTGTTATCTGGATCTGCTTGTCTAATACCGCCAGCCATAGTAAGGACAGATTTGAGAGCTCGCAAACCAAAGTCATAATGATATTGCTGGGATAGCTGTTTCTCAGCCAAGTGATACATTGTTGTCAACTTCTTAGCCAGTTCCTAATCACAACGGCCGGGTAAATTAGACTTTTTAACAGGAATAATAGCACTTTAAAAAAAGATGAATGAACGAACTCTTGCAGTAAGAAACCCTTGAGAGAAGAGCATAATTTCGCAGATGTATTCAAGATCAGGCACAATAACCACTACCGGTCTGAAAAGAGCTTTAACAGACTCAGGAAGTTCGGTTCGACCAGCATAGCCTGGATTCATGGTAATGAAATAGCCGATTCGGCTATTCAATGACGTTTCTTGTCCATCCAGCTACAATAAAGAATTGAAATAACAGATATGGGATAAAGTGTGTACTTAAAATTCCTTTGACAGAAAAAATATAAATTTACTTGAAAGACAGTAGCCTTAGCTTTAAGGGCTGCCTGAATGGCTTGAATTTGTGAAGTGACAACTGAGAGAACCGATACCTCAATTCGATTGAATTCATCAAAACATCCCCAACAGCCCACACGACAAAGACCCATCATCAGTCTTCCGAATGACTGTAATAACCCGAAAATAATAATCATTTGGACCGATTATAGGAAAGATAGGATATTTTATTAAACTAACCTTGTAATCCATGCTCTCACCACAATTCGTAACTATGCACAGTTGTCCAAGAGCTTTTGCCAAATCCTTTACAGTTTCTGTTTTCCCTGTACCAGCTGGGCCCGCAGGTGCTCCACCCAGATATAGAGAAAGTGCTTGAGTCAGAGTCAAGTAGATGCGATCAGTAAGCGGCGTGATAACTAATCTTCCGTTCATGCCAAAATACTCATATCCGTAATCAAATTCAGCTGAAACTTGACGTACTTTCATCGTATCAAGACTTCGTACCCAGTAGAATCTCAATTGAGACTCCCATTCGAATTCATCAGCTGCAACGATGCTGTCACGGATGAAGCCTTCGATGATGTCCTTTGCATGGACATCAAGAATCAGCACAGTTTCTAGTTTCTTCATCACATTTGGAGTGATATGACCACGAACCATGCGAACAATCTGGTTTATCTGTTCAATGAGTTTCTGATTAAAGTCCTTCATAGCACGTCGTTGACCTGCCTTCATGTGTCTAAAAACATCTTCAGTCTCCCATGTGAACCAAATCTGATTAGCCGCAAGTACCACCATGCCCTAATGAAATTAGTAAGAAACATGGTTAAGAGATATTAATGGCTAGGCGTGAGCCAAATAAACACACTCACAAGAAAGTCCAGCATCCATTCAACGCGGAGCTTCTTATAACAGTAGTAGAATAGAGCACGCTTGGTGATCATTTGATTGGTGCGTTTCATCTCTGCCTCTTGATTCAACAGCCACTCCTCAACTTTTCCAACTAAATAGACGGGCTTATGAAACTGCATAATCTCTTCCTCGCATGATACCATCGCCGTTAAAAGGGTATTTCCTTTACCATCCTGTCTGTATTTGAATCCTTTGATATTGTCAAACATCTAAAGAGAGGCAGTATATTTAGAACTCAGGCAAATATTACAACGTACTCTCAAAGGTGGGGATAAAACTTGCTTTAACAATATGCTCCTGAATCGTCTCAATCTCCTTGCCACCAAGTATTGAGAGCATTTCATCATCAGATATGAAGTAGAAACGTGGATAGGCATTGCGTTTCGCATCAAGGTAATCATTAAGAGCCTTCTGGCATAACTCCAGTTCGCTTTGTAGCATTATAAGCGCATCGAGTTTATGGTCTGCCAGACAGCACTTCATTATATATTGTGTATTGGCCGCTTCATTCATCAACTAGAAAGGATATAGTCTTGGAATTTTCAAAGCTAGTAATTGCTATGCAAAGTATATAATCACTTCATGTTTTACCTTGCGGAAGGCAGCATCCAGCTTCTGAAAACGTTTAGCATCATTCGGTAATTGATTTGCTATATCACCAGCCACAAATATAACTTCCAGATACATCCACTTCTGCTGCACAATCACCCATTTCTAAGGGGAAATTAGAGATAGAATACAAATAAATGGAATAAGCCAACACAAAAAATCAAAACATCTGGGTCAGATTGGAATTTCCGATTCATTAATTAGTGAAGTGGCTTACTTCAAGAGTATCACTGATGATGCTTAAGTCTTTTTCCAACTGCCGGATTGTGTTCATGAATGGTTGAGCACTACGACTCCCATTGATTGACTGTAAAACGAGCATATTGTCTTCCAGTACTTTTGTTATTTCATCAACACCGCTAATAACAGGACAGGGTTTATCCTTGCACTTGGTGTACAAGGCAAGAGTGAATTTCATCTCTTTCCACGTCTTCTTTATATCCTCCAGATTCTGCAGGGAGAGAGAGAGAGAGGTAGGCAGTTTTTACTACGCATGATAGTCACACTTAGTCAATGTAAAATTATCTTTCTACCTGTTCAATGATAAATTCACGTTGAGCGTTTGCAACAATATTTCCAATCTCCTCTGAGTAATGATAAAGCTCCATAGCGAATACACCTTCTAGAGTGAATGTCATAGGATCAATATCAAAGCTAATTCCTGTCCTCTCCATAAGTAGCTTCCAGTGCCTATACATAATTAATTTACAATCTTAAAATTTCCAACAGAGCTCATTTAAAACTAATGACCCACCTATCTCTGAGTGCTTCATCTTTTAATAAAACTATCAATTGCAATGAATCCTCAAAGTTCCTTAAATCCGTATATAGCTTTCTGGAACATGGAAGCATTCTAATAATTTTAGGTTGTTCTTTGAGGTTGTCAAGGAACTTCTCTGTTGCCTTTTGAATGGCTTTGACATCAACATTCTTCCACAGGATCATAGCCCAATCTTCACGTGCCACCTAAAAGATGCAATGAAAGTCGATGTGATCTAGTAAGCACATTTTGTGGTTATGCAATAGTAAAAGATAGTCTACAATAAATTCTATAGGAAATATTCTAACTAAACTCCAAAAAACATAGATTGTCCAAATTGTGGTATAGGCATTAGCATACCTTTTGCTTGTAGTAGAGATCGTATAGTGGTTTCAAGCTGGATAGTTCAGATCGGATCTTCTGCAATTCCGGATAGGAAGAGATGGGTAGACCAAGCAGTCGTTCACTATTTAGTAAGTCTAGTCTTTCTGTTTCAAAACTATCACAAAGTTTGGTGAATTTGATAAGATTTTTTAGGCCGATTTCCAGATCTTGATTCTCCCTTCCTGGACCAAATTTCTCGTATCTACAAGGTAAAACTACCATTGTTACATAGCAGCAACAGCTAAGGCACTAATCAAAATTTTAAGATAAGCCAAAGCGACATACTCTTCAATAAAGAGCATAATTCTGCGTTTGAAATCTGCTATAACATCTCGCATTCCCACTGCGAATTGTGCTTTCACAGGGGCAATATTAGCAGCCACTTCATATCCTCTATGTAGAATAGCATTAAAGCGTCTACGAAGAATTCTAGAAGAATTCCAGTGGTCTTCAGGAATTACGGTTTTCCAATACTCCAGATCTCCATACTGACACAATAGACGATAACGCTCGTCCAGATCACTTACACATTCATCAACCATTTCACACAATCCGCTTTCCAGTTCACGCAGAACTTTAAGAAGTTGTTTAAGTTGATCTAAAGTAACCGGTTTCGTCTTTAGAACTTCGAGCTTCTCCTAAAATACATTATGGTTATATACAGCGATCATTTGACTTCGACAGATTGTTACTGCCCGAGATGCCGGGATCTTACCAGCAGGGTCTTCATTAACGTGTTATATTTCAGTTGTGCTGTATCATAAACATGGCGGAGATAGAGTCGTATCCAATCGGAAAGATGGGACCGTGCACTTTCAAGAAAGGAGGTCAGTCGAAGGCCAAGAGCGCCAGCCAGTACAAGTCGTGTTCTGGAGCCTCCTTTCTGATTTTCAGTCTTGTCAATAACCCTTTTTAAATTCTCAAACCAGCTTTGGAGTGTTATTATTCGATTTTCAAATTCATGAGTTGTTCGAGGCTTCTTGCGCACCCACTTCTCAACTATATTCAACTAAAATTAAAGAGGAATAGAATGAAAAACTAATACCCGACGCATCAATAGCCAAAATTTCTACCGTACCTTATCTTGATACCAAAGCGTGGAATATATTCCCAATCGACGTAGAAAATCTATGACTATTCGGTTGAGTTTAGCAACATGTTCAGTGAACACAGCTTCGGGTTCGTGGATTTTAGGACAACGTTTTATTTCCTGGGCGAAATTGATGCTTAAAATTTGATCATCTTCACCACGAACTGTCGGACAGGGTTCACATGAACCCCGCATCCAACGCACAAAGTGTTGAGTGCTTTAAATGGAAAGGACAATTAGCTATAGTGAATATATTTTATGTTAGTCTCAAGACTATAAAAAAAACCTAATTTTGACATACAATTGACTACCAACAACTTTGAGTAAAATCAAACACACTCGTTAAGAATAATCATATCAGAATTATTTAAATTAGGGACATGGTTCGGTAGCTATTTCATTATAAGAGATTTATCATTTACTTCAAGTAACCAAGCGAACAAGGGATACCCCAGCCATATGTCCATTCTCGGCACGAATTGTCTGTGTAAGTTTTGTCATTTACCTTTTGGTCCGCAGATAACTTAAAAACCACAGTAGTTCTCTACAATTCTACGCATTTCCGAGAGCGTTAAGCTAAAATTATTCATTAAGTCCAAACAAACTACAATCATAGCCTCTTGCCAGAGACTTAGTGGTACTCAAGCAAGGACGAAATTCTACGATTCAATCAGTTTTCGTAGAAACTAATTACTATGAGTATTGTATGCTTAAATGGAGTAACAGTCCAAATTACTTCATAAATCCATTCGCAACAATTTTTCAAGGCTTAGACAAGTGTTTTAATCAAATATAGCCCAAGTGATATTTATTAATTTTTTTCTAGTGCTTATCTTTATCCACATTCATCATGTTAGATTCGAATAGTTCAAGAGTTAAAGATGATCCAATTATACTTAATAAGCTTTTAAAAATCAGTAACTTGAGATTTGAATTGGCAAAAATGCACAACATCATTAATATTAAACACAACAAACCTGTTGATACAACCACGAATAGTTTGAATCATCCATTTATATAAATCGGAGGTATTTGGATAGAGTACGATATCAGAGTTAGTGAGAAGAATATCGATGTGAAAGATGGGTTTCATTCCACCCAATTTATTAATAAAGTGCCAGATATTCTTCAAAACCATCTAGAATGGGTGAGAAAGGTTAAGAGGCTAGAAGGTGGGTAAATATAAGGTCTTGATAGGGACTTATTATCTAGAAAGTTAGAATTAAATGATATTTTAAAGCATCTTGATAGCAAAATATTGATCCAACAAGAGTAAGTATTGATATTTCCCACTTACGTTAACTACTGACTCCATTACTCGCTTTTCACACATTTTGTAGACTGGCTCCAATTTCTTGCAGCGTCGTGTATTGGTGTTGTATAAAGTCTCTTCAAGCTTTCCTAGAGCGTTTATGAGGGACCCTTGAGTATTCCTAGTCAGATTCACCATATCAATCTCTCGCATTTTCTCGACGTAATCAAGGTATTCTTTGGCTGATACTAGCACAGCCCTTGATCGTTCTTTGAAGAGATTCATCTGACTAATCGTATGGCAGACTTCACTCAAAGTGGCAAAACAGTTGTCGATTTCCTCAAGCTGTGTTTCTAGAGTTAATAGTTTCTATCAGAAAAAAAGAGGCCTTTATTAATGATGAAATGAGTTGATAAGTTTAAGTAATGACAATTATACCTTTTCGCATTGTTCCAGAAAGTCGTCAATTGTTAAGCTATCCCAGTTGACGTAGTTCACTCCATACTCAAAGTGCTCTGTAGTGTCTTTTAAAGTGGACTGTAATAATGACGCCTTGAGTGGATTTAGGTTGCAGCGTATTGCTTCATACCGATCTACAATGACTTGAAGCCGAAGTACAGTCTTTTGGAAATATCGACGCTAAAATTCAAGTAAATAGCTAATTTCTAGTCATAACTTGAATTACATCCTGTGTATAAGTGCCTACCCGCAAACCAAGAAGACGAACCATTTCTGGAATTTTCAATCCCAAAAGTTCCATTCTCACTGATTCCGCAATTGCTAACCATATTGTTGAGCTAAAGTTGACTTCATATACTGGTGGATCTTCTATAAATTAAAACACGCAGTCAAATTAACTTCAATGATTGTCAAGTCTAAATACTAATTTGATCATAGCAGTAGGTTGACATTCTGCCTACGTCATCGGAACGATCTTTCCAAAACTCGACAGAATATGGTCAAAACTAGATCAAGTGTCTACTTAATTCGACTACTTAGCTCCATAATAATATTAACTATACTTCATCTAAAGAGGTCACAGTCGTCTTGTGAAGAACTACACTCATTCATCTCTCTTTGCACAGTCATTAGCTCATGGGGTTAGTCATTCCACAGAATGCAGACTTACTGAAGAGTCCTAATTTAACAAAAAAGAATGATACCTCGGAGTCACCTCAGGATGTATCTAATTTGGGGTGTGCGATAAACTTACCTCCACGTGGTGCATCCTGGACAACGTATACTCATATGGCAAAAAAGTCTATTACCTGGCAGTTGACTTCTGACTTCAAACTGCCATGACCCCAACTGTATGTCATATTCGACTATTTCCACAGTAATCACCTCACCTTTTTTCTACTTTTGCGTTTGTCTCTTACATCTTTGAAACACTCTTCTGTTCCCTCCCCCTCCCCGCCCTCTCGATTTTTTCACTTTGATGTTCCTCCAGTCTGCGAAGCCTGAAGTCAACTAAAGGGCTAATGATAACCCTCAAAACTCCTGCCATTTGATATAATAATAATATATCTAATTCCATTAAAGTACCTTATATCTTTCTTCTGTTATTTAACACTATCAAGCCAACTTCCTCTATTATGTAGTCTATTCGGTCAAATCAATGAAAAGTAAATCATCGACAGATGTCTGGAAGTTTAAAGTTAAGCTCCTTGTTCCTACATTTATGTGTTCATCTTTAAGAGAACTTTAGCGTTTTAAAACTACTTTCTCAGCACTACACTTACCGTACTCTAGAGATTCATCTTCGTAGCTTTGGAGGGTGAAATATGAATGGGGACTTGATGTGCCTTCTTTATTCGGACCTAGGCCCCAACTAATTTCTGAAGGTAGATAACTTCCGATATGAAAATTCGACTTATTGGGTGCATGAATTACTGGATGCTCCAAGTCTTGATGGAGTGGTCCAGCCCACCAAGTTGGCGGGGGTCGAACACTAGGCATTGCCTAAAATTTGAAGAAAACAAACCTATCATTGTCGGAGTTTTCTGAATGACGCTGTGATTATATTTCCCGAAAATGTACTGAAGTTTTTCACATGGACAACTACTGAATTATACTTTAACGCGGCCTGGGGTGTACGATAGACTTACCTCCACGTGGTGCACCCTGGGCAACGTTTACTCATACGGCAAAAAAGTCTATAAATCGGCAGTTGATTTCTGACTTCAAACTACCATCACCCCACTGTATATCATATTCGACTACTTCACAGTACTCACCTCACATTATTTTCTACCTTTTCTACCTTCGTCTTTGAAACACTCTTCTGTTCCCCATCCCCAAACCCTCTCGACATTTTTTAACTTTGATGTTCCTTCCCCTCTGCGAAGCCAGAAGTCAACTAAAGGGCTAACGATAACCATCAAAACGCCTGCATTTGATATAAGTAAACTTTAACTCGGCCTTAAACGAACACAAAGATATTCTTTTAAAATGATATGATTTTTTACTGGTTGTTGAGGTAAGGACGAAAAATGGCTCAGTTTGCAATGTCACGGATTGTGCGATTACATTCCACAGGTGGTCTTAACATCGCCTATTAACCTCCTTCATATGCGGGTATACATCACTCTCTATCTTTCAACAGTTTGTATCAAGCTGTCACCAATCGCATCGTCAACTGCCAACTACACAAAGAAGGATAGATATCTCATATTTATCTTTATAAAGCGGCGAAATTATCATATAGGCAAATAGATTGGAGATTTCTGACGATTGGATTTGAGTTAGTTGTAGTTTGTTAGTAAAATATTCAGTAGGTTCGCAAAAACTACACCACCATTCATTTTACCAACTGACATTAAATTAAATTTTTAGCGATTCAATTGAATGCATGAGGACGCAATCAGGTTAAAATGTGATGAATTGGGTTACATAACTTTGAGTAGGATCTCGGTATCCTCTCGATAACAATGAATCCTTCACTATGACGCAAACACAACAAGTTGCCTGAATTATTCCAGACGGACATGAAACTCAAATAGAGATGCGAAACTGATAGCATAAAAATACTCCTATCGGACTTCTAAGAAAAAATCTTCGCATCATATTGTTTCATAGGGGACTTGATATCAATTAAAATTTGCATAAAATTACTAAAGATACTGATAATTTAACAAAATATATTTTTAATCATATTCTTTTATGAAAATGCGTTGATTTTGGCCTTTATATCCCTATGGCTCAAACCCATTTCTGTTCCGTATAGATAAGTTTACAACTTATCTTAATTTTCTAAAACTGGTCCTTTTCATTTAAAAACACGCTTGCATCCATATTTGCATTCATGTTCTTACAAAGTGGCTCATCTAAGCCGTCTTGGTAATTCCTCACACACGTACTACTGCCACTTATTTGTTCATAGACTCCCTTCTCCTCCTCTGCCTTCATCTCCCTCTCTCCCCCTTGAATTTGCTCTTTCGACTTATCGTCGTGATATTTTCAATACTCATGGAACAACGATTTCTTACAACAACACAAAACAAAATGAATAGGCGTTCATTGTTTCATGCTAAATTGCCATTAACGTGTGAGCATAATTATCAGCATTTCGTTTGTTTTCTACCTACAACCCTGGTTCTCTCATGTGAATCTAAAGCAGATTGGAGAAGATCTTGTTTGGGGTGGAAGCAAAATGGCATATGTAACAGATTTGAAATCATATATATATATATGATAATAGCAAAGACTTACCTTATGAAAAGGGATTGGAGCAGAGCTTTTGCAAAGGATTGATTGACGTAGAGAATCATTCAATAAAATTAATATTTCATTCTCCCAAACTTTGAATTTCTCAAGCTGAAAATCTTGCAAAAGATGGGCTAGGGCGATATATTGCTGTCTAACACTGATAGCCTTCTTGCGTGGCATAAGATACTTTTTATAATCACCCGCTCCTTGTGCCTGTTTGCTATTTCGTCCATCGGCAGTATCCTCAGCCTCCTCTTCATCGAAGATGTCCGGTTGGGACTTGAGGAAACGCAAAACACTGTATTTGGAGGTGCTGAAAATGAGACGAGCCCAGCGAATCGCATTTGAAACTGGTGGAATAAAGCGCTCACGTTCTGGTTCATTCTTCAGCTCATTGAACAGTTTCTCTGCTTTCGTTAACTATAGACAAAATTCATTTGGTTTAAAGTTCAGCTTAGACAAGGAGTTAAATCTTACTTGGATATCATTAAACAGAATCCCACCTCCACTCCCAAGCTGCGCAACACATCTCTATACTTGTCCTTCAATAAACAACTGATTGCACCTCGCGCCTTTACGGCTTTGAAGCGCTCCAGTAGATTGAATGCATTATTAGTTCCTCGCACACGAGTGAAATAGTCATTGACAAAGTTCTTGGCCTTTGCGTCGATCGAATTCACTTTGTTATCGAAGTCCTCTACAATTCGACTCCATGTCGTCATATTTTGAGGCAGGAAAGGACACTTCATATTCTAAAATAGCATTTATAATATACCCATTACGAGGTCCTTGCATAAAAGCAGATTCTTTGTTTCTTCAACTATGACTAATGTACAATTCGTAATTTGCTCATTGGCTAGATTCTCTATAAAACTTGCAGCCACTCGAAGTTGTCGCTTATCCTATTGGTTCCAATTCACAATCTCGATTAATACCCCTCCCCCCACCCCCAGTTCGTTTTAGAAAGACTGTGGCTTTATATTAGTCCTCAGGATAATCGTGTGTTCTATGAAGGGATATCTGTACTGATATGGTAGGACTTCTAAAATTGCTTCACTGATAGAATTAGTGATACGCTAGATTGCTTACTGGATTTTTAAGAGAGGTAAAGAGGTTATCCACCCGTCGTATAACCTCTATTAACGCCTTACTCTCGCCTGTTATATTCCTTAACTCTGGTCCAAACATTCTGTAGAATTCTTTTGCACTCTGAAAGATAGAAAATATGATACAAGTGTAAGGAACAAAAGAACATAGATAGCCCATCTGAAGGAGTCTACATTAGCCATATCGAGAATATCGT